CAGAGGAAGGCTCGAGCGGGCGTGCGCGTCCGTCAGCCAGAGGAAGGCTCGAGCGGGCGTGCGCGTCCGTCAGCCAGAGGAAGGCTCGAGCGGGCCTTCTTTCCCAGCTAAGAGTGCGATGCCGGGAGCTGTGAACTGTCCTGGAAGCTGCCAGGCACAGTGAGGGGTGCAAAGCCACCCTATGGCCTGATCTGGACAGAAAAGAGGTGCTTCGGTAAAAACACACATCAGTAACTGCTCAGCAGCGGGCAGGCAGGGACCAGCGACGGTCCCTCGGAGATTCCTGCCTCTTTGTGATGGTGGCCCAGCAGCGAGGCCTGGAGAGCTCCACTCCCCAAAAGGGCCTCCTGATGTCCTCCCTCGATCCCAGGGACTCGGACCAGGAGGGTCCCTCTAAGGGCAGGCCTCCTGCCTCTGCCTGGTGGTGCTCAGGAGTCCCTGAATAAATGGATGTGAGAGAGCACAAAGAAACAAGAACGCGGGGGAAACAGGTCAGGTTTTCAGAAACGCTTGCTGCCATGAAGCCCCAGGTGACTGAAGCGAGGAGTCCAAGGCTGAGAACGACAAGGAGCCAGACTCCCATGGAAGACGCTACACGGGAAGCCCACTGGTGGCGGAGCAGCTTCGAGACCCCACCCTGCGGCCGGAGACCCAGGTTGTGACAAGGGAGGGTCTCCTGCTCGCCTGGCACCCACTCAGCGTGGGCTCCCCTACAGACGGTGCTCCGGCCACCTGACTCGTTTTACAGTTTGTTTTACGACAGCCTTGCTCCTGGAGGTGACAATACAGCAGAGACGGCCAGAATCTACTACGTGCTGGGCAGAGGCCCTGGCAGGGGCTGACCGTGACACGCTCTCCAAATCCAACTAAGACCCACCAGCATGCTGTGGACACCTGCAGCCAGGAGGGGCACCCGACGCGGGCAGGGTAGCTGGGTTCATTTGCACCTTCCGTGAGTAAGGGCCCCGGACCCTTTACAAAGAACCGTGGAGGATTTGGTCGGGAGATTACCGTTACGTGTGTCTACGTCTGCAGTTAAAAAAAAGCATTACCTTTCATTAGGCTGAAGATGTGGTTACCCCCATCCCACCTCACCTGGCCACAGTGTACGTATGATCAACAGACACGTTTTTCCAAGGATCACTTCCTCATTAAACCAAAGCCTCATGTAGTCGTTCCTGATTGCTTACTGAATCTGAACGCCATCCGCACACGTCTCTCTCTTCTGCTGTTTTACGGCCTGTCTTAGCCTTCCCCACACTGTCTGATGAAGGAGGTTCTCCTGCACACCCGGTACACAGACACGCAGAATGGGAAAAACCTACACGAGGCGAAGCCTTCGCAATTACTGGTGAGTGAGCTCACAGCGTCCTCTGGGGAGGTCTGGGGCTCCCCCAGGCACTGAGGAGGGGCGGAGGCACGGTGGGCAGCTCCCCGAGGGTGGCTCTGCTCTACACACTGGCTGCCAAGATGAGCCCCTCAGCCCTCGAAAGCTCTAACACCCAAGGGGACGCACGCAGGTCCGGGTCTTCCTCTCGGGACGGCGCCTCCTCTCACGCTCTGCCCAGGGGTGAGACGGGCACATGGCTCAGCTCTACACACAACTTCCTCTCGCAGCTGAGACAGCCTCACTCCCCTAACTCCACCTCTCAGCCTGTGCCTGAACGGAACACAACAGCAGTCTGGTTCCTGCTCCGCTATCGACGGCCATCAATAAGACTGGGAGCAGTTGTGTCCAGGAGACACGGAGATGACCCACCTGCCAGCCCTTATCCGCGGTCCTGTAGTAGGGGTAGTTTTTAGTGATGTGCGTATAGATTCCGTTCAGGGTGAGCTGCTTCTCTGGAGCCATCGTAATTGCTTGTACTATTAACTGTGCATAGGAATAAGGTGGCTTTGAATCATCCTGTACGGAAAAAGAAAGGACAAATATTGAACAGTAAATTATTACAATTCTTTAATAAAGCTCAGGGTTCCTGGTGTTTTAAGTCTTGCTGTGAAAATACTTAGTTTTTCTTACTAAAAGTGACAGAACTTGACTGGAGAGAATTTGGAAACTTTGTAGGAAACAAGCAGAGAATACAGAGCAGTTTAAAGAAGAAAATCCAAAGGGTGAGCAGAAGCGATCAGAGGAGCAGCGAGAAGCTGCCCGACCCCAGGAGACGCCCTCCACATGCCCTCATATCCACCCAGAAGGCCACGCACTGGTGAGGGGCTGTGCCAGGCACAGCCTCTTTTCTGGGAAGCTAAGCCGCGTGCACCCTATAAGCGGGCGCTCTCTGGTGGAAGTCCTCATGCGTTCAGAGCCGCGGGCAGGGCGCTGAGAGCACAGCCCATGGAGACAGCCACCTCATGTACCGAAACGTCACACAGACGTGGCGGGGACGAGCGGACGCGGGGTCTCTACGCTGTCTTGCGCAGCAGCGCAGGACACCCCAGGCCCCTGCCCATTCAAGGCCGTTGGTGGCCCCTTGTCATCACGACAACTCAGATGCACACACGTCTGCACAAACCTGCCAGGGGAAGGGAGACTGCTCCACTTGTGAACCTGTGGGAAATACACCTATCTACACCCACGACAGCAAGGCGCAACGTGTGTGAAAACGCAATGCATTCAAGATGATGCTGTTTCTGGGAAGTGTTAAAACGAACACTGAGATAGGGTGTTTAGGGATACAGAGCGGAAAGGAACACCGACAGGCCCAGCACCTAGAAACAAAGGGAAAGAGAAGGGACGCGTGTCCACCCGGACGGTGGTTCACTCTTCAGCCTGGTGGTCGGCACGAAGAAGTCGGCTGTCACTCTCCACACAGAAAGGTTTAACCCCCTAGAACACTAGCAGCCAGAGGACTGCATCTCCTTTAAACAGCGACCATTTCCTGAGTACTGAGGCCAGGCCTGACACTGCCAGACGGTCTCCATGGCAATCCCACTTTTCCTCACAGCTGGCTCCTCTTGTTACAGAACAGAGCCAGGCAGAGGAGCAAGGACACTCGGCCGAGAGGCGGCCAGGAGGAAACCCTCTCCACGGGGCTTCTGCTGTTCGCAGCATTTCCTTGCAATCTTTTTTCTATGTTTCCAAAAACCTTTTTATTGAAAAATGTAATGCAGACAGAAAAGCCTGTAACACGTCCACATCAGCTGAACAACCTTGGAAACACCAGGATAACCACGCCAGGCCAAGCAGTAGAACGCAGCCAGTATCCCAGAAGGTTCCGTGTGCTCTTCTTGGCCCACGACCCCCACCGCCCCGAGAGCTGACCACTACTCCTAACCCTTTATGCTGATTGCTATCTTCTGGGATTTATTAAGTTACCACCTAAGAATGCATCTGAAACAATACAACAGAGCTTTGCCTGCTTTGGCGCCTGACAGAAGTGGAATCTCAGAGCGGAGGCAGTGCTGCTCAGCTAACACCACAGCTGCGGCTTCCCTCAACCTCAGCGCTGCACAGCTTGCCGCTGCGTGAAGACGCAGCTCGTAAACATGTAACTAAAGGAACACTATGCACAGGTCTGTTCTCTGTTATCACTCAGCACTGTATCCAGAGCATTTTCTTATTACAAATATTTTGTATAACATTCTCTTACTGGGCTACCATATTGTAACCATTCTCTTGTGGTGCATTTAGGTTGTTTTCAATTTTCTGCTTTATATAAACTCTTGTTTAAATTTTTGTCCATTTCCTCTAGACAATGTCCTGGAGAGAAATTACTGGGTCAAAGAGTAAAAACATTCAAGGTCAGAGTGTGGAATATCAAAAATCACTGTCCAAAAAGGTGACCAACATCATCTCCAAAAGTGTGTGTGCGAGACACACACACACACACTCTCTCTCTCTGTCTCCCCAGGCGTGGTCTTGTGAGCGTGGATGCACAGGAGCCCTGTGAGCACCAGGCCGTTCTCCGCCTGGGCCCCACCATCAGCTCAGCTCTCACATGGGGCTGACACCTGCCGCTTGGGGGCCCTCAGAGAGTGTCCAAGGGACGAAAGAATGCATTTGCGAACCCCAACCCTGAGAACATGCTCAACAGCCAGACCAAAATGAGCACCTCATCCACCCAGACACCATTTCCCGTCACCCAATGGTGTGCACTCTGAAGACACACTGGTTGTGGATGCCGTTAGACACACGGGTGGGCACCAAGTCTTGGGATCACTGTGTCAGGCTATAAAACGTTTACCTTCGGGCTGTCTCCACCTGAGGCTTCCTTCTCATTTTCTGGCTGCGAGTTGTCAGCCATTAAATTGAGGTCAGATGGTATCACACGGCCCACTTTGTACCCCGAAGACCCTGCCCCACGGGGGCTGGACGGGCAGGAGTTCGCAGCGCTGTGAGAGACAAAGAGGTGCTCCTGTTACTCTGTCATAGGGCACACGTCATACTGTGTTTCAGTAACCGCCTCTGATTTCAGGAAAAACAAAATACCAAAGTAAAAACACTAAGAGACTATCAGCATTTTCTCTCGACAAATGGCCTCTCGTCGACTCTCTCTGAAAGTTAAGCCCTCAAGGAAGGGGTGGCCCATGTGTCTTACCAGTGGAGAAACTGAGGCACAAGACAGTCCCTCCACACTTGTGCTCATTTAGTCACACAGGGACAAACTTCACCAAGTGAAAAGCGAGGGGAGCCGCTTCCACAGCACCCAGCACAGAAGCAGAAGGCGGCTCATCCACCTGCAGAGCAGGATGAGCTTGGTGCCACGGGGGCTGCACGTCGGACAACACCGAGCGCAGCCCCCGGCAGACGCCCACCAGAGCCCCGCCCGGCCAGGCGCCCCCCCACCTGACAAACCAAGCATAGCACAGCTGCCTTTCCAGAAGGCTTGTATCTATGCTGGTTCTCAAGAAAGAGACACAAGTGTGCGCCCTGAAGGCGTAGCCCTGCGACTGCCAGGCTCCCCACGTGTCCTCCCTCGGCCTCCGCACTCAGGGACGGCTCTGAGCAGACCAAGACGGGTCCCTGCCTCCCAACAGGACACCCTCCCTCGGACCTGGTCAGCGCGAGGCTGACTGAGGAAGAAGTGTGTCGTATCCACACCTGGGCCTAACACTTACACCCAATTTCGGGGTTGTTTTCAGCTGCTGTCGAGGCAACCCCCGACTCGTGGGGAACCCCCGCACGACGGGACAGAACACTCGTGAGTCAGACCGTGGTGATGCATAGGGTTTTCACTGGCTGGTGTTTAGAAGGACACCACCAGGCCTCTCCTGCTAGTCTGTCTGAGCCTGAAATTTCCACGGAAACCTGCTGAGCGTCATCGCGAAACGCAAGCCTCCAGAGACAGGCGGCGGCTGCACCCGAGGGGTGACAGCCAGGAATGGCAGCTGGGCCTCCCACGTGGAGGGGAAGGCTCTACAGTGAACCGCCGCCACCCCTCACACCTAGTCAGATGCCCAAGGACAGGTGAAAACCAGCGAAATACGTCATCTGCCGTGATTCCACCTTCCCTTCGGCCACAACACCTCACTGTGGCCTGTGCGCGGCTGTGGGCTGCTGTCTCAGACAGCTCTGGTGAAGCCCCGTGTGCTCTGGGCTCTAGGCCCCGGCGGCCCATGGACGGCGGTGAGCTCACGCTCGGACACTGCAGGTCTCTCCAGAGCGTGCCCGGTCCTCCTTAGGAGGCCGTGATGAGCGCTGTTTGTCATTTTAACGTGGTCAGATTGACCAATCCAGAGTGCGAGTGTTATAGATTGAATTGTGTCCCCCAAAAATATGTGTTGTAAATCCTAACCTCTATACCTGTGGTTATAATCCCATTTGAGAATGGGCTGTCTTTGTTATGTTAATGAGACAGGATTAGCATCCGATGTATCCTGAGTCAATCTCTTTCGTGAAGAGAAGCAGAGATGGGAGAAGTGAGATGCCAAGCCACATGAAGATCACGCAGGAGCAGAAGCTCAGAGAAACCATGACCGTCCCCCAGGGCTGACAGAAGGAAAGCCTTCCCCTAGAGCCAGCACCTTGAATTTGGACTTGTAGTCTCCTGACTGAGAAAATAAATTTCTGTTTGTTAAAGCCACCTACTCGTGGCATTTCTGTTATAGCAGCACTAGATAACCAAGACAAGTTTCCAGAATTTATATGGAACTGTAACAAACAAACGAAATTCAAAATTCAAATTAAAACCTTAGACTTTAAACAAGTATCACTAAATCAGTTGCCCCTTAAATTTACACTGCGTTAAAAAGACTCCATGAATGAAACCGAGAGCCTTTGGGACTGTCTCTCCCACCACAGGAAGCCGAGAGCAAAGTCTCCGGAAACTAAACGGTGTTTTAGTCTTCAACGCCTCCCTCTCTGTGTCCGTCAGCCCCAGGAACGGGCTGAGGGCGATGCACGACTGTCTGCGCACCTCCCCGGGGCTGTGACTGAGGCCACAGGGATGCACCAGGGAGGAGCCGTGTACTCGACCGTGAGCACAGCCGCGTACTTCGCGAGCACACAGCCCTGCGGTGCTGACAGAGACCCCGCCCCACCACAGAGCCCACCCTACCTGATGGTGCCCGTCGGGGAAGGCAGGGGGCTGATCAGGTGGGCCATGGAGTCTGGAATGTTGATGGTCAGAGGCGAGATCTGGGGCTGCACGGGCTTCACCGGGGACTCAGGCGCCTCCTGCTTCTCCCTCCTCTCGCTGGACAGGGCAGTGAATGTTATCTTGATGTTTGTGCTGGGGAACCGGAACGTGCACCTAAAAGGTAAAGCAGAGTGTAAGCATCATTTGTGGCTGGACAGTAAACACCTGGCAGGAGGGCGGAGGGCACAGAGCTCCTGAGCGGCCAACAAGAGCCGGAGCCATGCCTCCCAGCAGGTAAGACGCGGCACGCTCATCCGGGTCCAGAATACACCTCGCAGTCGAGAAGCCCCACTCCTAAGGTCGACCACACCACCTGCTACGGGACCACTTCATGAACAAAAACCACGAATAAGATATTTCATGACCTGAAGACTAGCCCCGTCAGAAATGACAGTGGACTCAACAAAGACTCAAATACTACTTAACATACTACTCCGTTTAAATGCACAAATCTGTTTTAGATCTTGTAGCAGACGTAAAACAAAGACCCAAATACCACTTAGCATGCATTATTCTTGTCAACATAAATACATAAATACATTAAGCAATCCACAATTTGTGGGGGCTCTTCTTTAAGAAAGAAAACTCATTGCTTTTTCTATTAAAAAAGCTTTCACTTTGTCACTGAGCAAATAAGATACTGAGTTACGAGAGAAAAGGTTCTGTCCTAACACTCTGGCTCACCTATAATGTCCTCCACAAGGCTCCACATTTTTGTGCAAGTTCAAAAGTTATCTGAAGTCCGCCAAAAGCAAAAGAACACTTGGTGTGGCCTGGTACAAAGTGTCTGCTCTACACCTTCCACACGCACAGGCTGTTCACCACTCGGCATTTAGAGTAAACAGATCTCACTCTACCTGCCTCCCAGACTCAAGAGTCGTGGTAGACCCCTCAGCACTGAGGGACGCACTGTCCCTGTGCACCCCAGTGCGATGCCGCGCCTCAATACACACCACCTGAGACTGGTTCCAAGACTGGCACAGCAGCAGGTCCCGCCAGGATTGGCGGGCCCACCCAGAACTCCCACTCTGAAGTCAGTCTCCTGAGCACCAACAGATGTGGCCAGAGGCTGACGAGGCTGCCCCACCAGGGTCGGGGAGCCACGCTGCAGCAGGGCTGGGCAGAGGCCACGTTGGCCCACACACACCCGCGTTCCTCGGCACATTGGGGCGGCCCCACCTGGTCCCCTGCCAAGTAAGTGAGATGAAAGATGAACAGAGCCAACGTTAACAGCATAATTTACAGAAAAACTGTATTATCAACACTGATACTAAAAATACTTATTAAATCAAAGCAAGTATCATGCTCCTTATGAGTGAAAAACCAATACAAAAAATCAAACCAGTGAACTTGGAGTTAAGATTACCTGTAACACTCTTGGCAATGATTTTTTTAAGCCAAATAAAAGCAATTTGGGACAAAAGGTGTTGATCGAATTTTAACTGAAACATATACGTTGGGCTTCCTTCATAACTGAAATAAGACAGTCTCACTAAGGCCGCAGCTCCCGCTGCAGCCACTCAACAGGACAGACTCTGAAGCCCATCATGTTACAGCGCCCCTCCTACTCCCACCAAAGGCCCTGTGCCCTCTAACACAGCTCTCTGACTGGCCTCTAAGCTCACAAGCTGTAAGCTTCGCAAAGCGGGTGAAATACACTCCACGCTATTGACCACCAGAACCAACTGGGCCCTGGGGGGACCAGAGGACAGACAGGACCCTAGTCCCGTAGTCAACAGTGCCGTAGGAGACCGCACCCACACCGATGCCTGTAGGTTAGGCCCAAGGCCAGAGTTGTCAACTGCCTGGGGGTGCAGGGTGGGGAGCCGAGCTCCCGATACCCATGGTTCCAGAGAGCCCTGGGATCCTGGCAGGTGTCTGCATCGGCCACAGGCAGTCAGCAATGATCACACCTGGTTCTAGCACCCAGAACCAGCAACCCTGCCCAAACCTGAGGCCCCAAATGGTATTTTACCGCGTGGCTGTGCCGAATTTGTTGAAGCGGCTATCCTGTGAAAAGACGTCCACAAAAAGCCCTAGTGACAAAAAGCAGGATGTACAACAGGATCTACCGTGTAGTCAAATTTCAGCAAAGAAGTGTTTTTATACGCATTAAAGAGTCCAAAACGATCTACACCGAGACGTTATCAGCTGTTACCTCTGGATGGCAGGATTATCTACCTTACATATTTTCTACTTTGTATCATCTGCAATTTTATGGTAATTTATTAATTGCATAATCAGGAAACGTAAAGAGGTCTGCCTGAAGCAGACGGGGTACACCTCTGTGATGCAGTTTCTTTCTACCTGGAGAAGCCAAGCAAACGTGAGAGTCCTCGGAGTGACAGTACAGGTCAGGTTTGCCAAAAGGCATCGCCGAGTCAACAGACGTGTGTGACCCAGGGACGGCGTGCGTGAGCCCTGAGCTCACAAAGGACAATCTTGAGGAGCCTGTCCTCGAGGGCTCATCCTGGAGTGGGAAGGAGATGCAGAAATGACCCTGACACGACCTCGTGGGCTGTGATAAGGCAGAGGGTGCGACAGGGACCGAAGGCAGCAGTAACTCCAGAGCCGGACACTGGTTAACGACAGACAACGCTGCCCCGTGAGGGAGGCCGGACAGAGCACACTCCCTGGAGGAAAGACACCTCCAGATGCAGATCACGGCCACGGCGTGCAGCGTGGGGACGCGGGTCACGGCCGCAGCGCACAGCGTGAGGAAAGGTGAAGGGGCCCCCAGGCATCTGGACTTCACTCTGGGAGACCAAGTGGAGGAGAAGCCAATTCAGGTTTATGTTTTCAGAGAAATCAGAAGTCGAAAACATCCCAAATCCCAAAACCAAACCCACTGCTGTCCAGTCGATTCTGACTCATAGCGACCCTAGAGGACAGAGTGGAACGGCCCCACAGGGTTTCCAAGGCTGTAAATCTTTACAGTAGATTGCCATATCTTTCTCCTGTGGAGCGGCTGGTGGGTTCAAACCGCTGATCTTTTGGTTAGCAGCCGAGCGCTGAACCAGTGCGCAACCAGGGCTCCTTGAAAACGAACCAGAGGATTGACAGGTTGGTCACCTTCATGAGTCCCCAGGGATACACGTTAAAGCCACGGTGAGATATCACCACACACCAGCTAGAACACCTAAAATGAAAAAGACAGAAAATGCCAAATGTTGCCAAACTGTGAAGCAACTTGACTCCCACCTCACACCGTGTCAGTGGGGTGTCAACTGTACAAAGGGTATTCCAAAGTGGTTCTATCCACCAAGCGGACACACGCATATCCTCTGAGCCAAGAGAGCCACAGCGCACAGCACACCCAACTCATCAAAAAACACCTACAAGAATCCCAAATATGCAATTAAAAAATAGTCTTCCAACTTAAAAATATCTCCAAGAATGTTCACAGCAACATTATCCATACTAGCCCAAATAAAACCACTAAATGTCCATCTACAACAGAGTATCAAATTGTGGTATATCCCATTACAGAATACTACATGCAAAAACACGGATGAGCCTCACACTCAGTGAAAAGCCAACATCCCCCGTTCCCCACTTGGTCCATTCTGTAGGATTCCATGTAGGTGAAGTCAGGACAATGGCTCCGGGTCAGGCAGTGGGCTGGGACTGGAAGGGGCATGCAGGGGAGGGGCCCTGAGTACCCGAGCCATACTACTCCTTAACTGGAAGCAGATCACAAGGGTTCTGCTTAAGCTTTACACGGGCTCTGTGCACTGTTCTGTGTGTACATTATACTGAAGAAGAAACAGCAGAGGAGTAACAAGACCAACGACCGACTAACACTACTCCAGAAGTCCAGGTGAAAATCACTGGGTTAAGAGCTAGCGGCCAAAGGGCAAGGGATGGATTTGCCAAACGTTAAAAAGGCGTGAACGGGGCAGTTTGGTGTTGGCTAGAGTAGGCTGAGGAGAGCATAGGTGCACGCCAGGTCTTGGACAGACAACATTAGCCAGTTTTCGACAGAGAGAAACGGCAGGATTGTGGACTTAGAGCTGGAGATAAGCATGGTTTCACAGCTACTGAGGACAGCCACCGTTGGCATTTTATTTTTCATATCCCTCCAAAAATTACTTGCCTTCGAGTAGCTTCTCTGTCTTATACAGGTCCACAGTCCCTCACCCACAATTCCAAAGACCAAAAAACTCTGAAAAATCTGTCCTGAAATCGTTGGCAGCAAATTCTGACCTGAACTGAGAAGGAGCTAATTATAGCTTTTAATTGTCCCACTTTGTGAGAATGTCATGTTTGCTACAGAAACCTAATGTGCTGGGTTCCAAGGAGTGCCAAATAATGCACAGGACACGCTCTGGATGGCTTGTTGAGAGGCCAAACTCCCCAGATGGCGACCCCGCTCTGGCCCCGCGAGCTCAGTGGATCCCTGAACCCCACTAGGCCTGGCACAGTGCCGCTCCCCGGGGAGTGTCTCAGCACTGGTCTGATGGGTTTAAGGGGCTAAACAGATGGCTTACTTAAAAAGAGTAGCTCCATTTAAGCTACTGCTCTGAGCAGACAGTGTCTCTGTTGCTGTGGTCACTGACAATGAGACATGTACTCGGCTGAGAATGATCACAGAAGTGCGAAGCAAGCCTCCCTCTCTCCCTCGGCTCCCCCACCCCTAATTCTCCTTCCCAGAAGGGCACCACCGCTCCAGTTTCCAATCACACCTCGCAAAGGAGTCACCGAATGCTTTAAACTCACAGAGACAGGCCGGCCCCGCGCCGTGGCTGTAGGCAGATGCAGGGCCCTGTCGGGCAGGCAGCCGGGTAGCCACTGGATAAAGAATCTGCCCTTTGAGGGAAGCTCCTCCCGCCTACTGCCCCCCGGCCGCTAGCCAGGACCCCACGCGTGGATACATGTGTCCTCAATCAGTTCATCAGCTGTCACCGGTGGACAAGTGCGGTTTTCTTTTTAAAAAATATTTCAAAATATTATTCTGACAGCACGTCCAACTTCATCTGCATAAACCCAAAACCAAACCTGTTGCCATCGAGTCCACTCCGACTCATAGCGACCCTACAGGACTGAGCAGAACTGTCCCATAGGGTTTCCAAGGAGGGGCTGGTAGATTCGAACTGCCCACCTTTTGGTGAGCAGCCGAGCTCTTAACTGCTGCGCCACCAGGGCTCCTCTTACTTGCACAGCATTCCCAGATAGCTGAGGGGAAAATGGACTTAGAAAATACCAGTCAGACAAAATCAAAGTGTCGAACAGAACCGGCCACGTGGTTGAGGGAAATGACCTCTGACGTGTAGCCCCTGGAGACAGAGGCGCAGCCACACCGTGCGGAGCCC